GTGAGATACTTACAATGGAAGTGAATTGGGTCAATCCGCAAACTGTAAAATACTCACTGTTTCACAAGACATAAATAGTATGTGTGTAAACATGACTTTCGAGAAAAAAAATCACTTATTAACCTTTTCTGTGTATAGTTAAATTCAAATGCCAAGACAAAGTTACACCTAAAACAAGAACAGCGTAATAGCACAAATTATACACAAATATGAACAGAAGAGTTAATTCATAAAATCGAAGCATTTCTGCTTTTAAATCTTGTAAAAACATTGTAAAGGACGAGTCAAATTTTTTTTTTGTGGTAATCAACATTATGCCATAAATGTTGTTGATTGAGCTTCTCTTGTATTGGACCCCGAACATTCCTTTAAAGCTAATTAGGGTTGTGACCTTGCCCAACAAAAGCATAGATTAGATTTTTCTGAGGTGACAAGAAGTGATGAAATCACTACAGTTTAGCGGTATTCGACAATTTAGACTAATTTAAAAAGCATGTGAACGCTAGTGACATATCTGTAACTGTAGTGAGAAGTGGACTGTAAATATGCTGAGCGATATGTGCGACTGTTGCTATAACAACCAAAGTAAGCCACATTCACCAGGCTTAAAGCCCTGTGGTAGCAGCACAAAATCAGCCCCCGGAGGTTGCAACGGCTCATTCCAAACTCTGATCCGCTCCTATTTCAGTTGCCCAGTGTAATGCTGTTTAAGACTGCCTTAACACCAACCAAGCACAAGATGGATTTTCTGAATGTTTATGAACAAGAAAGTCGTAAACCACTCTTTGTAGTCAAACACAAAGGGACTAGGGCTGGGCGATATGGGCAAAAATTCATATCTTGGTATTTTTTGTCCTATTTGCGATATACGGTATACATCTCGCTATTTTCGTTTTTGGATTTGGATTTTTAAAAAATCTGTATTTAATATATATATATATATATATATTTCACTTACCGCCCAATGTTGTCCAACAAAACAATACATATTAAAGGCACAATATGTAAGTTTTTTTTATTAAAATATCCAAAAACCACTAGAACAGTGTTATATATTTTGCTGACTTGTGTACTTACATACACCCATATGTTTCGAAGAATGTTTAAATTCAGAGAAATACGCAATTTTAACTAGTGACACGGACCGTGTCCATAGTGTCATTGTGTCGCCTGCCAATGACGTCATAACCCCTCAATTTCCGGTTTTGT